TGCAGGTGTCAGAAGGGTAGAGCTTTCATCGCCGTCGTGGAACGTCTTCTACAGCTTTTATCCAATGGGTACCAGCCCACTGGGATCTAGTCAGTCACGAGAGGGCTGACATTTTAGCGGAAACCGCGCGCAAACGGCAACCCTACACGATGAACAGTGCACTGACAAGAGTGTACGATCCATTTTCGTCACCCGATTGTTTGCACTTTGGTATGACAGTTGGGATTCTTCTGATAAAAGCCGTGAGCTCCATAGGCAGGCTAAGTACACCAGAACAAAAGGATGCGCGGTGGCAGCTTTCTCGTGCGGAGTCGGCCACTGTCCAATAGATGCTTACTTTGGACGGTTTCGAGAGAACCAGGACACACGGTGTCGCCACTGCATCGAGGACGTCAAAACAAGAAACCACATTCTTTATGAATGGACGATCGGGACAAGGATTTGAAAGAGAGAGAGAGAGAACTGGCTCTTGTGCGGCATTAGGGGGGTCCTTTTACGGGAGCAAGGCGACCTTAAAAACTCACTTCCCACTTCCTTTCACGCTCTATAAGGGAGAAATTCTCAGCATGGTTCGTTACTAATGGGGTTTCTGATTCGGTAGTTGGCATGTTAAGAGACATATCCTTTTAGGAATAACCCACACCCCTCACACACACCCAAGTGTTATCAGACGTAGGCTTACCTCCCCCTCCCCGCATGCAGTAGCACCCCCTTCCTGCCCGTCGTGACAAATGGAATCAATGTGCTGGTACGACGCCGTGTAGAACTCTGAACTCGTAAAGTATGTGTTAAACATTGTCTGCTTCCACCGCGTAGCTTTAACATCGGAAATCGATATCGCGTAAGCAGATTACGTAGTCTGATTAGGTGTCATCATGGATTATGCATTAGTTTTTACGTAAGGAAAAGTTCAGTGGACATCATACGACCACCACAAGCCACACCTCTTTCTTCCCCCGTTGGAAATTTGCTCAGAATACATAACCAAATGTTTTAAAAGACTTATTTACGGTTAAACCATGTGCTGAAGGTCGTATTCATCTATCTGACCTCTTGGCTTGGAACTTCTGACCACAGCGCATAATAAAGCTTTACCTTTACCTATCCCTTAGTCTATTGGACCGTTGGGGCAACTTGCAATACCGCTTAAGTTTGCTTAAGTTAGAACCTCTTTCAATGGCAGGCCCGTCCATTCTTTTATGTTATCCTTCCATCGCTTTCTCTGTCTGCCTCTTCTTCTTTTTCCTGGTACTGTTCCCTGAAGGAAGGTCTTTGCACATCACACGAAGATCTTGTAAAATGGCCATAGATTTTAAGCTTGAGTTTTCTTATGATAGTTAGCAGGTCATCGTGGGGTCCAATCGCTGCAGTAACCCTGTCTCGAATCTTTTGGTTTGTGATGCGGTCTCTGAATGTGACACCTAGCATTCTTCTGTAGCATTTCAATTCCATTGCTAGATCCTCCTCAGTGGCATCAATCCCACACCCCCTCCAACCATAAACTTTCCAATTTATTTGTAGAAATCACAGCTTATTAACAGATTCGATTAAATATCTATATGATTTAAAGTTGTTATTGATATTTTAACCGATCTTTATATTATGTCGTTCCCCTGTCAGCCGATTGGAAAGGGGTGGGGGGCGAATACATCTACTGCCCTTCCCACCTAACCTTTGAGAGGGAGGAGGTCCTACTTTTATGGAGAAATCATAGTTTGTGAGCAAAATTAGTTGAATTACTATATCATTTTTATATTATGTCGCTACTTTTCTGGTATCTTAGCCAATACGGTGAGGTGATGGTGGTGGTGGTGGTGGGGGGGGGTCGCTTCTACTGCCCTCCCCACTCTAGCCCTTTGTAGGTGTGGGAGCGGTCCTATTTTTATGGAGAAATTATAGTTTGTGAACAAAATTAGTTGAATAGCTATATAATATAAGCTACATATTGATATTTGAACTCATTAGTATATTATGTCGCACACACTCACTCTAATATCAAATTTTATCATTAATAAATTTAAATGAAAACAGTTTTTACCAGGTGGGAGGGGCAATACATGCAATTGCCTTCCGCCCATCGGACAAACCCATACTTTTTTTTTTTTGTATTTTAGTTAAGGAATTACAATATTAAAAAAAACTGTCACTAATATAATTTATATATGCTATAAATTAAATTCTTATATCAAGTCGCCCCACCCCCTATTCTTTAATGACAAATGCAATCATTATCAGAAATTATAAAAAGGAGCGAGTATTAATCGTTTCATTCTACCGCCCTCTCCCCTTTCCAGACGAAAACATGACGTTTTAAAACAGAATAATCAAATATGCTGACAGAGTTTACCTTAATTGCACATGATTTACATAATTATTTTAAGAAAGCCTTTATTTTGGAAAATTTAGAATTCATACAAATTTTTAAAATTAGAGTAGCAATTGAGATGAGTTCTGAACCCAAATATTATTTTCCTAGTCACAATTTCTAACCTTCCTCATACTGATATGTTTCTATTGTATAAATAAATTTGGCACTAAAACTCACGATATATGCTTGAATCCTAAAATTGTAAAAAATACAGTAGAATCTAATTGGTCCACTTAATTTCTTCCCCCGCTTCCGAAATTTTTATATAAAGAGCTTTGAATTAGAGTTCTGTAACAAAACAAAGTTACAAATACGCCTATTGAACAAAATGTATGACTTACAAATGAGCTTTTTAAAAATATATTTCCGGTATTTTTCGAATATTTTTTTTTTCGGCGGTGATCCTCAATGCCTTAATCTAAATATGTTTGAGTATCTTATCTTTTCAAGGAACAAATCGGTTGTATTTGCAATGTAGTAAAGGCCTGTAAACTCATATTATAATATTTTTCAAGTAAAACATTATTCATAAGGAACTTTTTTAATATGATGAATTATGAGCTGTAGACGTCAGGAGAATGCGTTCTGCAGTGAAGAATGCAAGAAAATGCTTTTGGCGTCGGGGCTTCGCTTCGCCCCTAAACACACTGTGGGACCTTATAGCGCTCCCCCAGACCCCCTAGCTGTCAAGAGAAAGGTCTCAACATGGCTGTTTTTTTTTTCCCGAAGGGTGAGACACACTGCTTTTTATTCTCTTTCTCTCTCACACACAAACACGCACGCACACACACACACACACATATATATATATATATATATATATATATATATATATACGCTCCCCCAGACCCCCTAGCTGTCAAGAGAAAGGTCTCAACATGGCTGTTTTTTTTCCCGAAGGGTGAGACACACTGCTTTTTATTCTCTCTCTCACACAAACACGCACACACACACACACACACACACACACACACACACACACACACACACACACACATATATATATATATATATATATATATATATATATATATACGCTCCCCCAGACCCCCTAGCTGTCAAGAGAAAGGTCTCAACATGGCTGTTTTTTTTCTCGAAGGGTGAGACACACTGCTTTTTATTCTCTCTCTCTCTCACACACAAACACGCACACACACACACACATATATATACATATACACACACACACACACACACACACACACACATATATATATATACATATATATATATATATATCCAAAGTTCTGGATCCGCTATCTTGTACGAGTGTCCCCAGCTCCTCGAGCTAAAGGGGGACCTGTCTGTGCTATCACTCGACTTGTATGGTAGTTATGAGGCACTACGCCGGACGGCTAAGTTTCTTGCCAGAGCACTACGGTACGGCTAGTCCTTCCTGCTCTGATTTTTCAATAGGAGTTAATCTCAGGATCCGCTAGTGGCGGTACTGTTGCACATCTGCCACATCATCGTAAAATTCCTCAGTGGATATGATAAAAGGACTACAGTGAATTTTGTTTCTCTTTAACGAATCTCAACCCTGGCAGCGCCAAAGAATGAATACTCATTCGTTTCTAACATCATCATCATCATCATAATAATAATAATAATAAAATAATAATAATGATAATAATTTTTATTATTGAAAAGAAAGTTTCTCACACGATTCGTGCATTACACTTAAGAAAGCATTACAAGTATAGAAAACAAAGTATACATTCACATCAGATTCATTTGTTTGAAATGTTTCTATCAGATAAAGTGAAAAAAAAAAGATAAGATAAGATGAAAAAATAAGAAAAGATAAGATGACAAAATAGAAAACTAAATGGACTGACAGTAAAATAAATTGTAGAAATTCATCAAGCCTTTAGACCCGACCATGACCTATTTATGGAACGTTGATACAAAACAAAAACTACAAAAACACGTTCAGAAATAAAATCGAATTTTTGAGATTTGCTGTGTACATCTTTTAGTTGGCCTGTTTTTTTTTCTCCATGCTCTTGGCATTACAAGATTGCGTTTAAGACTACATAGTGTATGGAAGCAAAACTAACCATTGTGGCCGTTGTTGCCGTTGCGCTGAATCTTTTTTTTTTGTTGTTTTGGGGTAGCTTAAAGGAGGACGGCTAGGCGCCATGTTGCCTTCACTGGCATACAGGAAAATAGCTGGCAACAGTTGGCCTCTGAAAGAGACAGTTGGAGAGCTCTCACAAAGGCTGCTGGAAACACACTGGAGACCCAAACGGAAAGTCCTTGCCGAAGAATGGCGCAGGAGACGAAAAACAAAAACAAAACAAAACTTAATTAGAGCGAAGGCGGACAACGGCTTTGTCTGCATTAAATGTGACAAAGTATTTAGGTCGCGACCTGAGTTCGCGTATTCACGTGCAACACTGCACTCATTCTTAAGGCAGAATAAAAATGTATAGTAAATAACACCTTTTAGACCTTGCGATCTGTCCATTTAAATCAACTCTCTTTAGAACTTAAAACTTGGTCTGTTCCTGACCACTCTCACACTAATTCACAGACACACACAAAATCTTCGCTTTCATAATTTTTATGATAACACACTTATGTGTGCGTGTAATTAAATGTTTCTGCTATTTAAACCAAATGTACCCGACTGGATTAAAAAAAAACACCAAATAAACCCACACTCAAAAATATGTACATAATAAGATAGGCTTCCGACTGTTCGGTATACGTTTGAACTGTTGTCACAGTCAGGAAAAAAAAAAACGACAACCCCCCCACCAAAAAAAAAAAACATACAAAAAATTGGACACTTACACACAAGACGGCTGCATACATTAAATCATCGTTTCTCAGACTGTGAGGCGCAACCGACGTGCTGACAAAAGAGGGAGGGGGGGAACCGATCAATTTCTCTTTCAAATAAAAGTTTTCAATATGGTTATCAATCAATATTTGGTTTATAAACCAAGCAACATGAAATCGTTTAACACATTAACACATTAACACATTAACACATTAACACATTAACACATTAACACATTAACACATTAACACATTAACACATTAACACATTAACACATTAACACATTAACACATTAACACATTAACACATTAACACATTAACACATTAACACATTAACACATTAACACATTAACACATTAACACATTAACACATTAACACATTAACACATTAACACATTAACACATTAACACATTAACACATTAACACATTAACACATTAACACATTAACACATTAACACATTAACACATTAACACATTAACACATTAACACATTAACACATTAACACATTAACACATTAACACATTAACACATTAACACATTAACACATTAACACATTAACACATTAACACATTAACACATTAACACATTAACACATTAACACATTAACACATTAACACATTAACACATTAACACATTAACACATTAACACATTAACACATTAACACATTAACACATTAACACATTAACACATTAACACATTAACACATTAACACATTAACACATTAACACATTAACACATTAACACATTAACACATTAACACATTAACACATTAACACATTAACACATTAACACATTAACACATTAACACATTAACACATTAACACATTAACACATTAACACATTAACACATTAACACATTAACACATTAACACATTAACACATTAACACATTAACACATTAACACATTAACACATTAACACATTAACACATTAACACATTAACACATTAACACATTAACACATTAACACATTAACACATTAACACATTAACACATTAACACATTAACACATTAACACATTAACACATTAACACATTAACACATTAACACATTAACACATTAACACATTAACACATTAACACATTAACACATTAACACATTAACACATTAACACATTAACATATTCTAAACGTCTTATAATTTTCTAATAAGAAACTTTAGAACAGTGGGAAGCGTGTGATCGAGAGGCTAAGTACGCTTGAAGGGGGCTCGAGGTTCGACACCCGACTCGGGCAGAGTTGTATTCACTGAGCGCCTAAAAGCTGCACGGAAAAAACCTTCTCCCAGATACCCCCTCCGCACACCCCCCACTGGTCCACAAATGAGATTGGACCAAAGCGCTCTGACCATGACCATATAAGCATGAAAGTTAGCGCTATATAAAAGCCATAATTTAATTTAATTTACTGCCTCTTCTTTAGTAAACGTAGGATAATTTGATCCGTGACTTGTTGTTTTTTTTACTTCAATATCGCCTGCCTCATCTTTTTTAAACATTTTGACTTTTTTTTTTTTATTTTGCACTCTTCTTACTATGAGAAAAAAAAATGAGTCCCTAATCTCATAACGAAGGAAAACACTTGGAGCACATTACCTGTGTTAGGCCCCCACTAATCGGAAGCCCTAGGCGGCTTCCTAGTTTGCCTATGCTTAAGGCCGGTCCTTACTAAATATTGCGCAATATTTACCCGAATTTTTCTTGCATAAAAATAATGGCCCTGATTCAACATGCGTATTAGCCTTCTAACACCTTTTTAATACAACTTTTTTTTTATACAACTTTTTTTTATACAACTTTTTTGTCATGAACTCTTCTTATCATTAAAAAGAAAAACATTTTTTTTTTAAAAAGACAATGCCTCCATTATTAGACTTCAACTATTATAAAATAATAAAAAAAATAATTAAAAATTTTGGTTCCATTCGGGTATCGAATCCGTGACACCGTCAGCTGCTAAATTTAGATGTCCATATAATAAACATAATTCGGCTAGCGAGGAAGGCATAGGTCTATTTATTTATTGATATCTTCATTATATAAACATCTAGATCTAACACTAGACCTAAAGTTCTGATTTACAGCTCTTAAGATCTAATCTAGATCTACTTCTAGATCTAAAATCTAGATGTAATCTATATAAGATTTACGTAAAAATATAAAGAATGCTTATTAACTTTATTAACTGTAAACCGGCTGACTACGCCATGTTGGCTCTAGACCTAGATATAGTTTCCAGCCAAATTTTCATTTATTTATTTTTTACTTTGAAAAAAAAATTATGACAGTCAAACTAGAGTTTTCCCCATGTGGCAAAAAGCTATTAAATCTTTTCTCTGCGATATACATCAACTTTCTAGGAAAATCGTTAGAGCCGTTTTTGAGATCAACGCCAGTCCGCCAAACGAGCTTCCATGAAAGAGTGACTTGAATAGAGGTATAGTAAAAAGTATTAGAAAAACATGGGTCTTGGATTGCAGGAGAATGAGTTTCTAAAGCTCAGAACGCAGGAAAACAATTGGCGTCTCCGCGAGAAATTAACAGTGCTCTTTCAGATCGCATTGATGGATAAAATAAAAAAAAACACTACTTCTCAAATACTATCTTTAGAAACAACAAGTTATATACGAAACACTATTTCCGAACAAATTACACAAAATGGACGCACACGTTTTAATGAATTAATATGTAAATTTCGAATCTAAAGTCACTGCAAATATATATATATATATATGTAAAATCTAACAGGGAATTTGTGTTAAAATTATGTCTGCATCGCTTAGTGGGGGCCACCGCCAAAAGTTTGAGAAACATGGCATTAACCTTACAATAATCAAAACAAAACCATAACCATTAGGTCTTTACAGTTCTTGATAGTTCTCTATATACGCGCAAATAGTAAAGTTCAAAGAACTTTCACTGCTAAATAGAGTCATTCAATGTTTATAAACCGTTGGATAAGATGGAATTAAAATAATTTAAAATCTACGCCTTAGATAATAAACTTCATAGCATGTAGTACGTATCACTGGTATCCCATTGATATTGAACCTACAAGCGGGATTTTTGTGAACGTAAAATCTCCGGAAGCCAGCTCTCTCCACTTCCTGCAGAGCTTTGAGCCTCGGCAAAATGTAATTTCTGGACTGTTCATTAATGTGGTACTCAAAAAGAAACTGTTTCACATTCGCCAGCTGACCGGATGCAGCCATTTGCGGCAGTGACGGCCATTCCGAATTTTCGATGTCCATTTTGACCAAATCGATGGTGCTGTTTTCATGCTTCAATTTGGCGCGAATGTCTTGGAAGGTGAACAGAGGCCAGTTTTTGTCGTTGACGTATGTTCTTCCGTCAAGTCCAATTTTATAAAAATGAACGTTGGAGGATCTGTTAAATACATTGAACAAGAAAAAAAAACTTTAAAAAAAAATACCTTTTTATACAACTTATAGAGCGATTATTTTGCTATTAATAACTATTGAATGTTAGATTAATTGATTAAAGAAAAAAAAAAGAATTATTCTCCCCCCCCCCCCTCATCCAGGCGAAAAACCTAGTTACACGAATGTGTAAATGTGTAAATCTACTAGACTTTATAATATTTTAATGATAGGCCTTTTCATATAGAATTAGAAGACGCTGCGCAAAAATTTTCCTGAACATTATTTTACTAAAAAATCTTTAATGAATATTTCCCTATTGCCTCATATATATATACACACATATATACGTATAAAGCAGAATGTAAGGCATATATGTGTATGTATGTCCCGCATAGAAATCATAACCGTTTGACCAATCTTGATAAAACTTGGCATACATGTTCCTTGGGTACTAAAAGGAACCATAACGTATGTATAGTAGCCTTGTAACAAACTTTGGATCCCAAAAAAAGTTGCCCAACTCTATGAAAGTGTTACTATTTCATGGATCTATGCCATATTTACAGAGACAAATCGAAAGGATCTAGATATAGATTTAATTTTTAAAACTACACTTTGCATAGATAGTTTATTCACTTTGACACATGAAAGTACAAAATATAGCCTATTGGTTTCATTATATAATAAAATTAACCTTCAAATTTGTCTTTCAAAATCATTTTTACATAAATTCGTTCCTTATATCAGCGAATTTAGACGTCCTGACGAACATTATAATCCCATTCATTTAACAAATCGGGTAAACCCGTTTTAATTGTACTTTATATCATCTCGCTCTCCTATCGTTTTTAATAGATATGAATGTATCGGCTTAACGGGTAATCCAATTTTCGCAAAACTACTTTTATTTTCGTGGCGAAAGAGAAAAACTTGAGAGGATAATTAGCAAAGTTCCTTAAGAGCCTCTTTTTTGAATCAGGCGGTGGTGAGCACTTCTACCCACAAGACCTTAAGACCCAGCTTCTGGGTCAACTCACCTGTCGTACTGATCCTTTGCATTGCTCATGCTGGGGTCAAACGAGTACACGTGACAGCCGTACACCTTGGCAGCGTCGTCGTCAAAGGAGAAGTCGTTGTTGATGCCAAAGGAGTAGACGATGCAGGGGTCACGGGGTCGTACGTCAGGGTCGTCACAGACTTCCCATCCGCCATCATCGATTTTACCCAAACGTATTTTTCTTCTACATAAAACCTGGGAATTTAAAATCAATACAAAAAAATAATAAATACGAAACTATATATATACATACTAGGATTATCCACTGGCTATTTCGTCATAGACCCCTCGTGCAGTGTTTTTGAGTCTATTTTCAAAAGAAAGTGAAAATGACGTAAGACCTGTACAAATAAGTAGACTTATGGACAAAGGAAAAAAAAACATGCTTTAAAAATACGGGTTTTGTGTAATATATTTCTTTTTATGCTTTGTAGATATATTTAGACTGCGGCCTTTTTGGGAAATACAGAAAATAAAATACAAAGGCTCGATAGAAAGCTTGCGGTTTTTCACAAGGTTGCGATTCTGTAACAAGGTTACAAAGACAGTTTAGGTGGAAACAAAACTCAAAATCGGCCCCCGAAGTGGTCCACCCAGGCAGGTAAAAATTCAGGTTTTAATATTTTCAGAAAGAATATCAGAATAAAGTTCTATTAAGGGCAAATGACAGAGAATGGAGAAAGAAGG